CGAAAAGGAGGAAGAAAAAGACAAGTTCAACAAAAAACAAGAAGGACCCGACTAAAAACCAGAGAACAGGCCCGGAAAATCCAGGTATCGGTACAGCTTTGCACATCACCCCACCATTCCTGGCATTTACCTGTTACTGAGAGGCTTTTTTTTTTTTTCCAATTCTCCCAGTAAATTAAGAAGTTTGTTTAAAATTAGTTTAAAAATTCAGTTTTACCTGCTTAGAACATTAATAGAATACTCACATGCCTACTAATAGAAAATATAGTATATTCTGAAATATACTTCATGGTTGCTCATTCGTTCTTGTGAGGTCTTTTGTCCTCTACCTGGAAGACTACTAACAGGTGGTAAATGTATCGGCAGCTGAGACCAGTGTTTGTTTAGAGAACGGTTAGCAGAAGCAGCAGTGAAAGCGGCTGGCGCACTAGTTGGGCATTCATTACTTGGCCATGGAAATGTACCCCCTTGTACTCAGTAGGAGAGACAAAGCCTTTGCGAAGGTGATTACATACAAATAGCAAAAAGTCAAGCATTTCAAGCAGGACCACACTTAATGATGGATACCTAAATATTCAGCTGTAGATTTTGGTATTTTATGTGATGGTCCAAGGACACTTAGTCATAGTATGGTTATGACTTATCACTGAATTGGCAGTTAAGTCTTGAGGTCTATCTTGTCCTTGAATATATTGAAATGATTAACATTTTATTTATTTATTTATTTATTTTTGCATTCTCACAGCTGTGTATTTCATAGTCACAGCCTCATTCTTGTATGGTAGATCGGGAAACCGAGGGTCCGGGGGAGTAAGGGAGTATCATCTGTGGAATGAGCAGAGGCTTTTAAGGTGAAGAGATTTCCGTAAATTCCAGAATGGCCTCTCAGGGGGGTGGGGGAAGCATCCCCGGTGCTGGGCAAGAGGGAGACAAGGTCGGTATGATCACAGAACTGAAGCCATGCGCTGCCCGAGCGCCCTACACACAAGGGCACAGGTTACGAGAGGACAGGGTGTCGTCCCCCGCCTGCTGAGACGCAGCAAACAAACGCAGCCCATGTACGCGGGGCTGTTTTCACAGGGTTAGAAAGTCACTGGTGCTGGTTAGTGCTGCCTAACTGTTCATTTTCTCTCATTTCATCCTGCAGCAAGAAGATGAAAGAAGAAAGAATCTGTTGTTCATTATTTTTAGGTTTTTCATTTTTTAGAAGCCCACGGGAATTTCATTAACACTGATGTCATTCCAAACTGCATCACCCACAAAGTGATATCCAATGAAATACAACTCTTCTCTTACGTTTGACGAATATGTTTGACAGCATTTGTTCTAGTTAAAACTAAGTTTGTTTTAAATTAATACACCGGAATGTAGGCAGATTTTACTTAGTTAAATTATCTTGACTCAAATCTCTCTTTTTCCTCTTTGTTTTGGCCCACCGTACCTTCATTGAAAGGTATCACTTTCCACCATTTGGTGAGCCTATTTTAAATTAGTTTATTACAGCCCCAAATAAAATAAAATGTCAAGTTTAAAACACTTTTTGTAAGGAGAGAGATGTAAGTCATGTCTTTAGCGCTACACTGTCCACAACATCAGTAACTGTAGTCACACGTGGCTATGAAATATGGCTAGTCTAATCTGATATGTGCTGTTAAGTATACAAATGTTACATTAACTCACTGGTAATTTCATATGGATTACATGTTGAAACGATAATATATTGAGTTAAGATACACTATTAAAATTAATTTTTCCCATTTCGTTTTACTTTCTTTAAAAGATTTTATTTATTTACTTGACGGGGGGCGGTAAGGAGCAGAGAGAGAGGGACAAGCAGACTCTGTGCTGAGCGCAGAGTCTGACGCGGGGCTCGGTCCCATAACCCTGAGATCGTGACCTGAGCCGAAATCAAGAGTCAGATGCTTAACTGCTTGAGCCACCCAGGCACCCCTCTTTTTACTTTTTAACGTGGCTACTAGAAAACTTAAAATTACACATGTGACTTGCGTTATATGTCTATTAGACAGTGCTGCTCTAGAGTATGGGTTTTTTTTTAAGATTTTATTTATTTATTTGAGAAAGAGAGAAAGCCCGAGCAGGGGGAGGGGCAGAGGGAAGGGCAGAGGGAGAAGCAGGCTCCCCACTGAGCAGGGAGCCAATGCGGGGCTCATGACCTGAGCCGAAGGCAGACGCTTCACCGACTGAGCCACCCAGGCGCCCTAGAACATGGTTTTGAAGGAAACCTCCTGGATGGCTCAGCTGGCCTGGAGGCCAGATGGTGCTGCTGAGCCTGGGCCCAGACACTGATTTAGAGCAGCGGTTGGTTCTCGAAGTTTGGTCCCCACAACAGCATCATCAGCATCACCCAGGAATTCTTAGGCTCTACCCAAGCCCTACTGAATCAGAAACTCTGAGGGTAAGCCCAGCACTCTGTGTTTGAACAAGCCCTTCAGGGGATGCTGATGCAGCTAAGGTCTCAGAAGCGCTGGTTAAGAGCCACAGGGGAAGAAGCGGAGACTCACCTGTGGTAGAACCAGCCTTCATTCACTGGCTTGGGACTTGCAGGTAAACTGGACAGGACGGCAAGGGCTGGCCTGGGGAGGAGACCAGAACTCACAGGGGGCTGAGACACAGAGCGGCTCAGAGGGGGTGATGGCAGCAGAAAGCTGCATAAGGGAAAGAGCTGCTTCCAGAAGGATACAAACAGGATACCCTGTGTATGAAGTCTAAAAAACATGCAAAATGATCACCACGTATTGACTGTAGATACAGATGTCTGGGGTAAAAACATGCGCAGGAGAGATGCGTGCAAATGTAGCATGTGTGACAGCGTGCGTGGGGAAAGGTAAAGAACTCATTTAGGATGGTGGCTACTTCTTGGGGAAACAGAGGGAGGGGAATCCTACTGGGGAGGGCTCCACAGTGGCTTCAGCTGTATTTGTAATGTTACATTTCTTAAGCTGGGTGGTGGGTCCACAGATTTTGATAGAGTATTCTATCCTGTGGCGATCTGAACTATTTCATAATAATGAAAATAAAAGACGAAAGGGAGAGAATGCACTTAATTTCTGGAATCTGTTTCAGGAAGAAAAAACGATAAAGTCATACTTGCCCCGAATAGAGGATCAGGGAAGGGGAAGGGCCCAGGGGTTTGAGACAAGAGGGCTTCATTTCTGCATTTCGTTAAGGTTTCCTGGGCGCCCCTTTGGGGGCAGGAGACACCTTCTCTCACGCTCTGTGGCAGCACAACTCGGTTTCTCACGTATATAATCTCCCATGTGTATATTCCCCTACTCCACCACCACCAATCCCTGGGCTGTGGTTTTATCTTTCTTTCCCAAAGCCCTAAGTAGGTGTAATTCATGGCTGTAATTACTTCAGTGAAGTAAACTTAACACTCCCACAACTCCGTTTTTGGTCACCGGTGTTGACATTTTAAGATGTATTATCACGTAATATTCCTTACGGCCAGAACCACACGGTGAAATAGAAGGCAGAGGGCTCTTTGGCACCATTATTTAAACTGCAAGAGCAGGCCAAGGTAGTGTGATCTGAGGGCCTTCAAACTGGCTCCGGTTAGTGTTTACGCCGTGCGAGCTGTAGAAGACTATTGCTTTAAGACCCAAGCCAGAGGGACCGGCGTCCTGAGCTCCTGCCGTCCAGGCCCCACTTTGGTCCTCCTCTGGCCAGGCCCCTCCCAACAGGACCAGGAGCCCCGTCCACGGGAATGAGGAGTGTGCCCCTGCCAGCCCACCCTCCAGGTCCCTGGCCCCCCGGAACCGTCCCGAGCCCGTTGCCAGGGCCTGCGTGCTCCTCTTGGAGCTGACCTGGCGGTGTGTGTGCCCCCAGGCCTCAGGGGGAGGGGGTCGTGTGCCTGAAACAGGGGATGGGGCCTGGTCTAGGAGACGGGGTGGGGGGGTGGGGGGCAGCTCTTCCTACATCATCGGAGCAGGACTTAGAGGAGTCTGAGAATTCTAAATCCTTTCAGGTCATTATGAAGTCACATGTGTTGTGGAAGGAGATAAATCATTCAATAAAGCATGCTGATTTAAACATTTCAAATATATAGCTAGATGGTATGTGGATCCCCAACTGAACTCTTTTTCTGACCCCTGCAAATGTTACAAATGTTACAGGAAGTCCAGGTTCAATATCTGGTCTATCACCCCTTTCCCCTCTTCGCCCCACGTTACACTTTGTTACCTGTGCATAGTGGGGCCCCTTGCTTCTGAAAGTACTTGTTCTAATAGCCCACCTTGCTGGAAGACTTGGATCTAGTCCCTAGCCCAGGCTGGAATACAACCACCAACCACCTCACCCCCCTCTACTCATCCCCCAACTGCAGTGCCCTCCCCTCCCACTGGTCCCTTTCTTTGCTCTCCAAGTGTTTATACACAACACTTCTCTTCGATACCACTTTTTCCCCATACAAATACCCACCTGCAGGCCGTCAGCTTGGTCAGGTGCACCTGTGTGTAGGCCCTTTGTCCTCTGCACAATCTCTTTTTTTTAATTATCTTTATTATTATGTTCAATTAGCCAGCATATAGTACATCACTAGTTTTTGATGTAGTGTTCAGTGATTCATTAGTTGCGTATGACACCCAGTGCTCATCACCACACGTGCCCTCCTTAATGCCCATCACCCAGTTACCCCATCCCTCCACCCCCCTCCCCTCTGAAACCCTCAGTTTGGTTCCCCGAGTCGAGTCTCTCATGGTTTGTCTCCCTCACTGATTTCTTCGCCTTCAGTTTTCCCTCCCTTCCCCTGTGGTCCTCCGCACTATTCTTTATGTTCCACATATGAGCGAAACCATATGATAATTGTCTTTCTCGGCTTGACTCATTTCACTCAGCATAATCCCCCCAAGTTCCATCCATGTTGATGCAAATGGTGGGTATTCATCTCTTAACTTCTTGCTTCTCTGACAACCCTCAGGTCGGAGTTATCAATATCTTATTAGACTTCCCTCCCCATGTGACAAAGACAGACTGCAGAACAAGCTTTATTGAATTTATTTGCGTTGCATACATATAATAAAAATCGAGAATGCTAAAAGAAGCCGAAAACTTGTCAGAATGTGCATCTAGGCATTAAAAAAACTTAATCTCTTTACTTAAAAACAGAGTTTTGTTAACTGTGGAAAAGAAATTATTAATGGAGAGCTCTCAGAGTGAGAAAAAACTAATAGTGGTCCACCCTAAAGAAAGGGGGTAGGGACTAATTACCAGGGTCACCTGGGTCAAGGGCAGCTACCTAAATAAACTGTTCACTATGGAAGTACAAAGGAAATCAAACTCAATCAATCAAGAACCTAGCATTATCAGAATGGTAAAGAATACAGTATCAGGAAAAATAGATGTTTCATAAAGAAAATGCAAAATCCAGCGTATGATTGTAGAATGTCACGTTATACCATCATCATCAAGACCAAGCACCAAGGACTTAAATTAGCTCTGGCACCTCACCGCCTCTATGAATCTTTTTTTGCACGAGGCAGCACCCCACTCAGAATTTAAAGGCACAGTTAGATGTTGAGGCTTACATTCCTGTGTTAACAAAGCAGCTCCGTGGTGACAGAGGCAGACACAGTGAGAGGGACGGCGAGAAGATACTTCTGGGTCTCCTAAGAAAATGAGCTAGGTACTGTCCAGACATCCAAGGGGAGCTCTCCCTTGGTGTTTGGTGTGTTTGGGAGATGGCATAGAAGGAAAGGACTTGGGGGAGTGGCTCATTGGGGACGGGGGGGTGCGGGGAGCTATCCAGTCTAGTGACTTTTGAGGTGTGTGCCTCCAGGAATGAGGGCAGGGAGAAGCTATGCTGGTTTGATCGCCTAAGGCTTCCGGTTTGCAAAAAGTTAATTGTTCTATGGCTTTGGGGTTGTGGTCTTGCTTTGGGCTAAAATTGTGGGAAACAGAGGCTGCTGAGGGGAAGAGACTAGAAACTGGCCTACAGGGAGGTTTCTGCCTTAAAGCGAGAGCCAGGGAAAAGCGCTCTCCAGGAGCCCAGGGTCTTAAGTGCTTAAAGAGCAGGATATATATGGCATTCAGTACATTTCTCAGCAACTAGAGAGTCCCAGCGCCATTGGGACAAGAGCTCAAACACTGATGAACTAGCCATCTAGGGGAGCACGATGATCCCCAAGAAATGTTCTGCCTCCTAGGGAGGTGCTCGCTGCTGTCAGACTGGCGATGTGGGGCATGCGCAGAGAGAGAGCTTTGTATGTTGCAGGCATGGGGGGCAGGGATACAAGGGCGGTGTCTCAAAGGGCAAGGGCTAACTGGAGGACTGGCTGTGCGAAGCTTTTCTTGGAGACCCAGAATTTTCACTTCCATCACGTCTTCTCAGGGCCTTTGTGAAGCTTGCAGCAGCAACCAAAGAACTGAAGCATTTGACCAGGCTCATGAAACCTGAAAGCCAACCCCTGGGCCAAGTCACCTGGCCATTCCCACCCGAATGAATTTACTTGAACAAGGGAAATGACCACCACCTCGTAGGCAGTTATATAGCAGTGCAAACATTCCACATTGTCTTTAGAGAGGAGATGCTGGGTTTTCAGATGTTGGTAGTGACTGTGGCATTTGTTACATTCAAATAATTAGTGGCTTTAACTCCGCCTTTAAGGCGCGTTTGCTTAATAAAAAGTGGTTACAGTAAATAAATCGCTACATGGCGTTAACGCAGCCATGGGCAATGATCATTTGCAATGCTGATGCCCCACCCAGGAGCTATCTACTGCATGATTTCGGCTATATGGCTCCAAGCTTTGGCTTTCTTCTTGGCCAGGGAGAACCAGACCGGCTCTTCCAGTTCTGCCGGCTCATGGAGCACAGCTGGGACAGTGGAAGACTGCCTGCTTTCTTTGGCCATGGTGGGCACTTGAGCTGTCTTCCGATCTTCAAATCCTACGAGAACCACAGCAAATAACACACAAGCAGTAAGAAGCCCCAGAGACACTCAGGGATGTTTATGGGATACAGTACAAGTTCTCCTCCTCTCAGGTTTCCTCGGGCTTTTAAAAGGCCCAAGCATGGGCCTGCTACGGGTGGTCTCTCGAAGGGATAAAATCTACACAGCTATGGCCACGGGGGCCTGGGCATGGGAAGGCCCAAGAGAAGATACCGGCCAAGCTCTGGGTGGTTATTATTAGACTGTCTCACACTTTTGACTTGAGACCAGGGAGGAAACCATACGATATGTTATCTATTCAGTTTTTTACATTTCAAATCATTTCTGTTTTGCCGATCTGTGTCACATGAAATGACTAATAAGATTTCAGTAGATCCACCCAGTACAAGTCTGTGCTAAAGAACACTGTACCCACTACTCTGACCAAGCAGACGACCTCCCTATCCCTTAGTTCTACTCCTTCCTTCATCCTGCTTTATGGCTGATGGACTCAGTGACTTTACCTCAACCAGTGTGCGGGGTATGCATTAGAATCACCTAGGGCTCTCTCTCTCTCTTTTTATTTAAGTAATCAGACATTTATTTGGTCAATTAGAATTGCAATTCAGGAGACACAGATTTGAGGTAGAAGCCTGACTGCTGGTACACAGCTAGAGCTTTTTTTTTTAAAAGATTTTATTTATTTATTTGACAGAGAGAAAGAGCACAAGCAGGGGGAGCAGCAGGCAGAGGGAGAAGCAGGGAGCCCGAAGTGGGGCTCGATCCCAGAACCCTGGGACCATGACCCAAGCCGAAGGCAGACGCCCAACCAACTGAGACACCCAGCCACCCAGCTAGAGCTCTTTTTAAAAATACCAGTGCCCAGGGGCACCTGCGTGGCTCAGTTGGTGAAGCATCTGACGCTTGACTTCAGCTCAGGTCCTGATCTCAGGGTCGTGCGATCGAGCCCCATATCAGGCTCCACGCTCAGAGCCTGCTTAAGATTCTCTCTCCCTCCCTCTGCCCCTCCCCTCCATCTCCAAAATAAATAAATAGATCTTTAAATAAAAACACCAATGCCCACACTATTTCCTGAACTAACAGAATTAGAATCTTTAGCAATGGAGCAGGGCCATCTGTACTTTTGTAAATGTTTCAAAAGCTCGCCAGGTAATTCTAAGGCACAGAGCTGAGAACCATCTGACAGGAGTAGAGTACCCATGAGATTATTAATAGCTATCAGCAGGTCAGGTGCCACGATTTCGTGGCCAGACCGTGGCTTCCTAAGTTCCTAGTCTAATTTCTTCATGAAGGGGACAAAGGGAGAGGACAAAGATGATTCAGTGCAAACCCACCCTCCCCTCACCCTGCTCCTGCTGAAAAGAAAATCCCTCTGGCACATACCTCTACTGTTGAGACCACATTCTATTCTATCACAGCCTGGTGTTCGCTCAGCTTTCAACATCTCCCCACCTCCCACGCCCTGCTCAGAAGGTGGAGAAGCAAGCCTTTGAAATAGCGAAAAGAAACGATTCGACACCACTGGACCTGTACAGTGGATTTTTTAAAGTGTCCCTGGGACTGTAGAAGGTGAGAAAGTACTGCTTTGCTATGAGCTGGAAAGGAGCTCAGTGCTCTCCTCTGGACTCGCAGTCACGGGGACATTTTAGTGAGTGATCACAACTCTGTGCCTATAACAGCTTCCTCGACAAGGCAGAAAACTGGGAGGCCCTTGGGAAGTCACACACTGGACTCAGAGTGGTCTTCACAATTGGATTTTCCTGAAACAAGCTAATATCTGTACCTAATGGAAGAGCCACGTGAAGCATGAGGCTGATGTGGGGCGGAGGAGGGGGTGGCGAAAGACATGTGTTGCCTGAGATGGAAACAGCAAAAGTTTCCCAATATGCTGCCAGGACTTTTGGGGGAGGGGAGCTGTTTTTACCTGCTTTGGTAGACTTAGGTAGCTTCTTCTGTGCCATCTTCTCTGGTTTATTGACATCGGAAGTAAAAGTCTTTCTGGGTTGGTTTTCACTTGCAAGGCCTGCTCCCTTTAATACAAAAATGAAAACAAAAAGCTTGTTAAGTCCTGATGTGGAGAAGAGTGAATTACTTATTCAGAAAACCACAAGGGGCAAGCCCTGTCCTGGCTATTAGAGTTCCACATTAGTCAAGAGGAAAGAGAGAGAGAGAGGGAAGGAAATAGCACTGAGAGGAACTTGGCTCAGAATTTAGGTTCACAAAACCTCAGCTGGTTCAAGTTTATCACCTTTGAGATCTGGAAGAAAAGGCCATCAAATCATACAAATAGTGTAAACAGGTTAACATAATTATTTAACCTGAGAACAACCTTTTCCCTAATGCACTACCAACACTTAAAAACAAGCTACCAGAATGTGGAGGTTACGAACAAATCTTATCAAGGAGTTGAAGTGAGTTCCACAGGATCTCACTTAGCAAAACTGTTGACCTCTGACTTGCACTCCTTCCACCAGAAAGAGACGTAGCTACAGGTCCTTCCAGAATTGTACAGTTTAAGCTTTTCAAATGCACCTCGCCACAACTGGTCTAAATTACTGAGTTTATATACCCTGGTGCATTTGCCCCTGACGAAAGCTTTAACAAGGTGTGCTTTGCCCCTGTATCTCCTGCTCCCATAAAAATACTAATGATGAAAATGAAAAAATCTTTCAAGTAGAGTTAAGCAGATCCTAATGTGATCCCTCGACAGTTACAGTAAGCAGCCAACAATACAGGCACTTAGACATATCTCTTGGTATGTAAATGTGATATGCTTTCTTAGGTCAGTGTTCTGTGGTTTTGACAAGAGGGGCTCTCATTCCAGCACCTCCGAAGACATCGCAAATGGGACGTTGAAAGCAAGACACCATCCCGTCATCCCTGATCCACAGGTGGGACCGTTAGTCTAGTTCATCACGTAACTTGGCTTCTCACCTGTAGGCAGGGGCCACACCAAAGCCAACCAATATGCAAAGCCCCAAATATCAAGCATTACCTTTATAAGGTCAATCGTTATGGATGATATGAACAGGTGCCCAGAGATGAGATGTCAAATGAAAAATAGTATGTATAGTTTGATTCCCTTTATATCTTCTTCAATACATACATATATTTGTAGGCATAAAATGCCTGTAAGGATAGTTACTCAATTCTCACCCCAGTGGTTACCTTTGGGGGTTTTTTCTATAACTTATTCCTCACTGCTCAACCGATTTCATGGAATCCTGCTCTAGAATATTCAGGACAGGGTTTGATTTACGGAACCTTCTCCTACTCATTACTTTCCACAAACCCTTTCAGAGCATAAAGCCAGGCACGTTATTGTCTGAGTACCAGGCATGACTCTTCCCCCAAAGAGTCCCCCTGCCTTGATTAGTGCACCCAAAGAGGTGGGGAGCTGCAGGCTTGGCAGAGTTCCCGACGCAAGCTTAGTCAACCAACTCTAGTGACCTTCTGGAGGGTTTTGTGGGCTGCTGCAGGTTCTCCCCAACGTCTAGGCTCTTTGGCCTCAGGCTTGGCTCCAGCTTTGTTCTTGGTTTTTGCCTCTTTCTTAGGAACGTGGGCCTGGGAGCTCGTCTGCCTCTGCTTTACCATGGTTATCCAAGCTGGCTCTGAGGCGGCGTAATCTGACTGTCGACCAAGAGCCTTTCCTGAGAAAGGAAGGAAAGTGGTTAGAACTGAAGTGAGGCAGGCAGGGTCTCGAGCCAGGCTGGGGCCTACCCACACTAATGTACCAGATGGCATCCTTGTTAATTGCCAGATGAAAATGAACAGAGATCCCATCGAAAAGGGCCCCCTTCTTTGATGCCATCCCCACAACCTGGCAAGGCAAGAGCTCCTTGTGTAGATCAGAATTTGCGTACCATCCTCTTACTGGTCCCTCGGCCTCCCTCGTCCATCCCTCTTCGTATCCCCAAATCAGGGTAGGACCAGGGTGACCAGGTGGGCTGGGAAAACTCCCAGGAAGCCAGAGGCTCAGGCTACTGATGGCATTCCTTGAAGTCCAAGGAGTATCTTATATCGACACTACATATTCCCTCGTGCAAGTGCGTGGTTACATGGGCGTGGTTCTAGGCGTGAAGACCAGGGTTGGTCAGGGTGAAGGTACAAAGGCTTTGAGAGAGATCGGTGCTCAAAAGATCACCTAGCTCTGGATTCTTAGACATTTCAGGTGTGGGAAGCAGCTTTGGAAGTATAAGCATTTACAGTAAATTAAGATTTCAAGCTGCGAGTCTGAACGTAGTGCTCTACTAATGAGCTGGCTTTTAAAACCCACATGATGTCGTGGGAGGAGGGTGGGGAGCATATGTGTTGAAGTATTTTGAGAAAGGTATAAAATTCCATCCAAAGGGAAGGTGCGCAGAAGGAATAGGCAGATGGTCGTGTGTCCATCACAGAATGTGGATGGATGGATGTCCCTGGGACAGGGAAGACTCAAAATTAACCATCTCCAGATCCATTAAGCCAGAATGGGGCATCATCCTGCTCCTAAAATCCACAAGCCAGCCCTATCAAAGCAACAACTCAGCAGGCAAGGCTGGAGCAGACTTCCTGTCCCATTCAAGACTTTGATTTCTAGTTCTTCCCTCCACTTGGTACCTCCTTGCCCTCTGGAAAGAGGAAGTCTCACCTGGGACCTTGTAAACAGGTTGCTTCTTGGCCATGCTTTCGGATTTGGGCCTGCTCTGTTGCTTCTCCGCCATGTCAGATGCTGTGGCGGGGTTCTCTGCGCTGCCCAGGAGCCCCTGGGAAACGCTTCTTCTGATTCGATGTTCTTTACATGTGGAAGATGAAACCGGGCCCAAGGAGAGCGAAGAAAGCTCAGTAAGGTCATCTTGTGTCTCACTCTTGTGCTTCAAGGAAGGGACTTTTCTCAGGCGAACTCCAAAAAGGGTTTCAACACCAGACCCACTGGTGGATTCGTCTGCATGGATGTTACTTTGATGGCCGCTCTCGAGACCTTCCCCCTTGGGGTAAGTGCCGCCGGCAGTGGATGCCTGCCTGGTAGGAGCCATGCTGAGCTTCATGGGTTTGGTAGCGGGAGGCAGGCTATTCTTAATGAGGTCTTCAGGGCCTTGGCGATGTTTCTTGGTCTTGCTTAGAGAAGCCAGGCCTCTTGGTGGGGCCCGGCTGGCGGGGCGGCTCTCAGAGAGGGGGCCCTCGGCGGCAGCCCTCACCGAACCCGGCCGGACCTGGGGCGGACATTCGGGCTCGGCCGGTGCCTGGGGTGTGTGTCCAGGCTGCGGAGGCCAGCACTCCTCAGACCTGCTCCAACCTGCAGGGGCACTGGCGGGGCCTGGGGAGAAAAGCTGGGGCTGCAATTCGGCCCCCTCCGTGGCCTGGGGAAGGCCTCTGGAAGGCAGCCATTCTTCAGAGCGCTTCTGTATTTCAGGAGAGCCCTGAGAGAGCAGGGAGGAGACTTCCCGGGACGCGAGCTTCACGAAGCTCGCCGGTGCCGGGGACAGGTGTCCCGGGGGCAGCGGCTCCTTGTAACTGCTCTGCTTGGGCTTCGCGGGGGCACTCTCTGAATGTGGGAGAACTGCTTTGGGGCCTTCAGGGCCCCCCGGGGGCTGTAAAGGGCGTGCTGTCGGCAGCAGCTTCGACGAGATGCCTCCCTCGGTCCCGGCATCCTTTGGGCCCGAGAAAGCTGGGTACTGGACTTTAGACCTCAACGGAGCTTTGGAAAGTTGATTCGCAGATGCAGGACAGGCAGGGCTCTCGGAAAAGACTTGTTCTGCCATAAACTTCACAAACGACTGGGAAGGATGCCTGGGCACCGGCGGTTTCTTAGCCGAGCCTCCTTCGGCAGCCGTATTCTCTAGACGGGAGGACATCTCCTGAACCTTGGACCTGGATGAGACCTGGGTAGGATACGTGCAAGGCACTGGCTTCCCAGACACGGCCACCTCGGCAGGAGCGCTCTCACAGCTGGACGACACTTGCTGCCCTTTGCATCTCCCAGGGGACTGGGAAGGCTGCCTGGAAGGCAGCGGCTCTGCAGAAGCACCCCCCTGGGTGGCAGCCCTTTCTGGAGCCGCGGAGGCCGGGGGCTTGACCACTGCTGCGCTCAGGGCCTGAGAAGACCTTCGGAGAGAGTGCCGCTGCTCCATAGTCATGATCCTCAGGGCCTCGGCGCCCTCCAGAGCCTCGGAGACGGGCTGCTTGGCTCTTGTGTTCCCCCGGGACTGGAAAGCGCATCTGGGAGGCTTCGGCGCGGCGGCGGCGGCGGCGGGGGCGCCCGGGGCTGGAGGAGCGTCCCATCCTGGAGGAGCGCTCGCCGACCGCCGGGAGGCTGCTCGCTCCCCTCCCTGCCTCCTCGGGTTCTGAGAAGGCTTTCTGGGAGGCAGCGGGGGCAGCGGAGGCGGCGGGGGCGGCGGGGGTGGCGGGGGCAGCGGCTCCAGAGAAATGCCCCACTCCAGAGCAGCGCTCTGGGCACTCACAGAGCCCCCGCGCTCGCCTGAGGAGCTCAGCCAGGACTGGTAGACTCTTCTGGGGGACGCCGGGCCCGGCGCCAGGGCGGGGCCGAGGGCGGGGCCGAGGGCGGGACCCAGGGCGGGGCCGAGGGCGGGACCCAGGGCGGGACCCAGGGCGGGACCCAGGGCGGGACCCAGGGCGGGACCCAGGGCGGGCCGGGCGGTGGCAGCCGAAGCGCCCACCGCGGCCAGCGGGCGGGGCTGCGGCTGGACTTTCGGCCTCACCGAGGGCTGGGAGGGGCCTCTGGGCGGTGGCTCCACGGACGGGCCCTCCCCGACAGCCGTCTCGGATGCTTGCGGGGCCTTAGGATTTGTCAAGGACGCAGCAGAATCCGGGGGGAGCGGCAGCTCCACTGAAATGACCTTCTCCGCGGCGGCGCCCTCCGGACCCGAGGACACATTCGGTTCCACTCCGGGCTTCATCGAGGCCTGGGCAAGCACTTTGAGAGGCAGAGGCTCCGCAGAAGCTGCCGGGCTTTCGGGACTGGCAGAGGCCGGTGGCGGGACCAGAGGGCGCGTCGGGAGCTGAGCATGATATCCGGGCAGCGGCGGCGGCTGCCCAGGGACGTTCTTTTCGACCACAGCGCCTTCGGCACCCAGGCACCCTTGCTGCTCAATGACGGGTCTCACGACCGCCTGGCGGGGCGGCGGCAGCTCCACCGAGATGCTCCCCTCCACAGCCGGGGACTCGGGGTCCTCCTGGGTCGCCTGCTCGGCGATGGGGTCCAGCGGCGGCCGAGAATGCGGTCTCGGGGGCGGCGGCGGCAGCGGCGGCAGCAGCAGCAGCAGGTCCACGGAAGTCACCCCGACGGCGGCAGCCATTTCTGGGCCTTTGCAGACGGCTTGCTCAGGCCGAGGCCTCAGCAGGCGCTTAGACGAGATTCTGGGCGGCGGCGGCGGCTCCAGAGCAATGGCCCACCGCACGGCGGGGCCCTGCTGCTCGGCCTGAGGGCTCCGCCAGGACTGGACGGGCTGCCAGGCGGGCGCCGGCTCCGCGGGGCTGCCCCGGGGAGGGCCCGGGGGCCTCGCCGACCCCGAGGACGCTTGCTGCTGAAGAATCGGCCTCGAAAAGGCCAGAGCGAGCCGCCCCACGGACACCCCCCACTCCTCGGGGAGGTGCTTCGCAGCCGAGGCGCCGTGCTGTTGGTCTGCAGGCTGCCCCGAGGCCTGGGAAGGGGGCCTGGGAGGCACGTCCTGCTCGGAGCTGCTCCAGGCGCCCGCACTGTTGTGCTGCTTCTCCACGTGCCCCTCCACGTGGGGGTCTGTGCGGCCTTTGTCCTCGGGCCCCTGCAAGGCCTGCGCGGCACAGGTGGGCGTCAGCCGCTCGTCAGAACTGCCCGAGCCCCCAGAACTTTTTGAGCCTGGGGCCTCTTGGTCACCGTCAGGCTTCCCCAAGGCCTGGGAGGGGTGTGTGGGAGCCAGCAGCCGCTGCGCCCCGCTCTCCGCCGCCGACGCCCTCGGGGGATCCGAGGACGCTGCTCCCGCCGCCGGCTTCCGGAAGGCCGGCGGAGAGTAGCCCGCAGCCAGCTGCAGCTCAGGGCCGCTGGCTCGCGCGGCCGAGCTTTGCGACTCGGTGGAGACTTGTCGCTCATCGGCAGGCTTCCCCGGGGACTGCAAAGAAGGCCTGGGAAGCAGCTGCTGCCCCGAACCGCTCTCCTCCTCGGAAGCACCCTCTGGCTCCGAGGACGCTTCTTCAGCCGCCCAGGCGAGGCTTCTGGAAGGCAGCCTCTCCGCACACCTGCCTCCCTCGGCCAAAGCACTTGCCGGACCTGAAAGGCTCGCGGCGAAGGCCGGGAGGACGTTTCCGGGAGACTTCTCTCTGCAGACAGCGGGGGTATCTTGCACTGACGCCATTTTCAAGTTGCTCGCTTGCACATCAAAGCTGAAAGCGTCTTCCCCTTCAGACTGCATCTGAGAAGGACCCGTGAACACTTGAGCCCCCATGGCCCCTGAGAAGAGGACATCGTCCGGGGTTGGAGAAGGGCCTTCCGCCGCGGATGAACGAGCAGCTCTGGCTTCTGGCCGCTGGCCTCCGGAGGCCCCATCTTCATGGCACGGCGACGGGCCACCGACCACGGACTGTGCCGTGTCTTCGGGTACAGCCTGGGACGCCGGGCCTTTTCCGGCGTCCACATCTGCCCCAGCCTTTCTCTTTCCCTTGCCATCTTGGTCTGGAAGCAGCTCCTGAGGGGCAGCGCGTTCTGCCTGCGGAGTGGTGGGCGGCTCCCTGACTCGGCGCTCCAGAGACAGGTTCCAGAGAAGACACTCTGTGGCAGGCTTCTCGGCAGGCGGGGACCCAGCCCTCTCAGCTAGGCCAAGCCCTCGGATGGACTGCTTAAGGCTTCTTCCTGTGGGCGCACACTCACTCAATCCCGAAGCACTTGATCCTTTTTTGGGGAGATGTCTTCCGCGCGCCGCTGACAATGGGGAGCTCTGACTCCCCGCAGCGTCCGCTCCGGCAGCCTGGTCTGCTGTCTTATCAGAAATTTCAGTTCTCTTGCTCTGCTTCAGGCTTGAGACACCTGTACCCAACAGAAATAAGGAAAAGAAAAAAATATGCATGCCTCGAACTTCCTAAAATAAGAGGATTCTGCCCCGGAGCCCCGTGGGTACCTATTCACTACTGACTTCCTCGGTATAACGAAGCAACTATTCAGAAGAGAGCTGGCGACTTGGTCACTATTAGCCTCTGCAGTTGGAAATGTTTAAATCCAAGTGTAATCCCAATTTTACGAACCGATTACAAGGTCGGCTCATTGACAGCAAATCAGTAGTCTGGTCCACCGTTAGCCGTGAGACACGTTAAAAGGCCGTTTTGGGGGGCGATTGGTGGCTCAGTCCTTAAGCGTCTGCCTCCGGCTCAGGTCATGATCCCAGGGTCCTGGGATTGAGCCCCGCATCGGGCTCCCTGCTCGGTGGGAAGCCTGCTTCTCCCTCTCTCACTCCCCCTGCTTGTGTTCCCTCTCTCGCTGTCGCTCTCTGTGTCAAATAAATACATAAAAATCTTAAAAAAAAAAAAAAAAAGGCCGTTTTTGAACCTGTAACAACGATTACCCTTTAGGAAACTGACTGGGGCCGGACAAAGGGGAATTTTACTTTCTAATTAGTATTTATATTTTTTACTTGATTCTATTTAATTTTCACATTGTGTGCGGGCATTGTTTTACTTTTTAGAAAGGTGTCAACAGGGGGGTTATCTGGGAGGTAAGATTGTGGCCCCCTTTTCTTTTGCTTTTTACTCTCTTGTATTAAACGAATCTGATGTAATATACAAGCAAAGCCATTCTTGGAAAGCCTTAACAATGACATAAGTCCATACAGCCTTCAGGTCAAATGCAAGGCAGCGGTGACACAGAGTGCCCCTCTCCTCTCTAGTACTTTTGCTGAGGGACTCAGTTTGATCACCACCACCCACCCCCACCCCCCGGGGGGGAAGGATCGCTGCCTTCTCTGCCTCATCATCCAGTGCATCCCCGACCTCCATCTAGTGGCTTCCTATCCAGCCACAGGGCAATGGGCGTAGCTGGCTGTACTCCAAACCACTCCCATTTACGGAAAACCCAAGTATCTGCCCCCACGGACACCAGACCTGTTCTATCCTCTGTGTGTAAAAGGGACAGCTATTAAAAACAATAAGAGAAGAAGATTAAAAAGAAAAATTTAAATTTCATTTCGTTTTCTTCTGTGTGTGTGTGTGTGTGTATGTTTCGGGACAGTTTTGTGGTTTTGTGAGTTTCCATGGAAAAATGTGTTTAGGGATATCCTTTTTTTGAACCCACATGTGAAATCCTTTGTGGCAAAAAAAATATGAAATAACTGCTCAACTTAACTGTGGAACTGGAATTTTGTTTTATCAAGTATTGCTTGAAATTAGGTTGCCATCAGCTGGAACCAACATCCCCATGCACACACACACACACACACACCCCCAGATTTTCACCCCAGTGGTATTTGTGGCTTGGGGGATTTGGTAGGTGTTGGCTGCCAAGGACATGTGTCTACAGCTGCCCAAGCCCACTTCGCCTGTGGATATGGGAACTGGTCTCACTGTTATCATAAGACCTTTTTCTCTCTACTGGAAGAGAAGAGCAACCTTAAAAAACTAGTTGTGAGCTAATTCTGTTATTATTGTCTGGTTCTGGTGTTCAGGGGACACTGAAGGGGGACTCATTGGCCACCCTCAGATATACCTTAGCCTTAGAGAGGATTAAACAAGCTTACAAACAAGCAAGAGCTACACACCTCTCTGGTTGGAAATTCATTTCGACAAAATAGCGATCCAGGCATAATCTTTTACCTTGATCCCACACACGTGGCAATGGTATGAGTCGGGCAGTTTAGATGGAGGAAGCTGGACCCCTTTGATATGCATCTTAAACTGAAAGCTCTCAGAGGGTACCAGGGACAGACAGCAGCCTAGGTAAATCATATTCTATAGCTCCTCTCACACAGCAATTAAGCCCATCATACATGTTTCTGAATGAGGGTGAGGATGTGCCAACCTGCACTGTCTTTTTTCAGCTTCTTTTTGTCAGCTTCTTTTGGTTTGGTTGTACTCTTCTCTTCTCCAGAAACCACTAGAAGGGTGGGCTCCTCTTGCTTTGCTTTCTCCTGAAAGACGGAAAAAAAGAGCTTCAGACGGAAAGTGCTTCTTCCCACCCACCCCTGAGTGGTTGCCGAAGGAGATGACATCAGGAAAAAAAAAAAAGTCCTTTATCTCCAAAGGGCTCTGCTGGGAACATAACAATACCATTAACCACAGAAATGATTTCCAATGGCATTCATCCCCTTGCTGATCATTTTACCCACTGGAAGCGATCATTATTTTACCTGTTGGTAAAATTCCCTTTTCAGGGAATTTAGTGAAAGCATGAATTAGGTCTTTCCGGCTCCAAAGAAGAAAGAAGATTGGGGTTTTGCCGGGAAAGAAGAGAGAAGATGATGAAGGGTTCAGCCTTCACGCTGAAAGGGTTGAAATTAGTTTATTATAAACAAGGTTTACGGATGATTACGGGGCAGCTTTGGAAACGTCTGAGTGACGCTGCACCGAACAGCGGCCGGAAGCTGCTCTGTGTGAGCCTCTGTGACATGCGTCTGAAGACAAATGTCCTACTCGTTCTGCTCCCACTCAAAGTGCCCATGCAAACACATTCAGTGCAAAGGAATTCATTTTTGAGTGAATGAGGTGAGACCGGCCTGGGTTCAAATCTCTGCTCCAGCATTTACTCACCGTGTGAGCTTGGCCAGGTTGTTCTCTACATCTCTATGCCCACAGCTCTAAATCAGGGGTGAGGGGGTACCTAAGAAACTCCAAAGCAAGGAGCAAGTGCCAGCAGCCTTTGTGTCAAACATGGTCCTGGACCCTTTCATATTCACCCATGTGTCGAGTCACATGGAAGAAGAGGTCCTGACCTTCTGAGAGAGTGATGCCCAGGCCTTTTCTTCTTCTTCTTCTTCTTCTTTTTTTTTTTTTTTTTTAAAGATTATTATTTATTCATTTGAGACAGAGAGCTACAGAGAGAGAGACAGCATGAGCCAGGGGAGGGGCAGAGGGCGAGGGAGAAGCAGGCTACCCACGGAGCAGGGAGCCCAATGCGGGGCTCGATCCCAGGACCCTGAGATCATGACCTGAGCCGGAGGCAGACGCTTCACCGACTGAGCCACCCAGGCGCCTTGCCCAGGCCTTTTCTTAATTAGGCTATGCAGAAGGAAGAGAGTCAGAGGCTCATACTACCTTTCCCTTAGCCAACATTCCCCATCTCCCAGGTTCGTGGTGAGGCATCCAGGTGATAATGCATATATAGGGTTTAGTGCATAGTAATGGGTCACCTTCTGCTTGACAACCGACCAAGGCGATCCTCTCAGGGCCACCAGAGGGCCCCCTCCTGGACCTGCTGTCCTGGTGACTGTTTTTTCAACTCGTATTTTGTTCTTTCTTTTTTGTTTTTTTATAGAGAGGGAAAGAGAGCACACAGAGTAGGGGAGGGGCAGAGGGAGAGGGAGAGAACCCCAAGCAAACGCCCTGCTGAGCACAGAGCCCGGTGCGGGGCTCAATTTCATGACCCCGAGATCTGAACGTGAGCCAAAATCAAGAGTCGGACGCCTAACCGACTGAGCCACCAAGGCGCCCCTTGTTGTCTTTTTAAAGCTAAACTGAGGTGTCTGAGCTCGATGCAACATGGCGGGGTGAAAAGAGTATGGGGTTGGAAGTCAAGACTGGGTTCTGGCCCCAGCTCTGCTACCATCAGGGTGTGTGACCTTAGGCAACTATTTGTGCTATAATGTCCTTCCCTATAAAATGGTTTTAAGTCCTTCAAGAGGCCTGGGAATAAACTCCCATGTAATAAAATCTTTTAGTGTCTTCCAGCTCTGACTGCAACCCTTTACTTACAGCCCAGCGGCGCTGAGGAATTGGGTGTTTGACCAAAGTGAAATCTTCCAGCTAACTGACACATCTTTTGAAACACCAACATCTTTTAGTAAATTAAAATTAAACACCAACGTCTTTTACCTTTTAGTAAAAATCTTTCCCAAAGGCATTACTTCCCTATCTTCTTAAACAGATATCAGGAAATACAGGTAAACTTTTCTTGATGGCTTGGATAAATAATGAACACGACCTATTACACTGGACCGAGATAGGGTGTGGCCCTGAGGGATTTACTGAGGTGGGCAAGGTTCTGGATCCCTCTACTAAATGGTCCCAGATCATTTCTGCCATCTTTCTCTGCTATCAATGGTCACGTCTCTTTGTTGCCAGATCTCCCAGTCTGGTGGCCATGTTTTTAACATAACTGGCCTGCCTCAATGTAGCTCTGTCTGCTAGAAAATCACATGACACAACTTTGGGATATCTATGAGACACTGAGAGATCTCTGGGGGTATTAATAGCTGAGTTCTGAATGCTTGGAGTTGCTGGAAGCCTGGCCTCCAAAGGAGTTGAACAGTGCTACAATTTGTAGCTCACGGGTCTTACCTGATTAATAATTAAAAGAAACCTGATCTGGGCCACGGTTGAATATCCTCTACAAAGAGGGCTGAGTGAATTCCCAGATGCCAAGCCAAGAAGCAGTTCCTGGGGTTTAGGTCACTGTTTCTGCTTTCTTCAGTCCCTTTTGTGTAAATTCCACATGGATAGGATATCCCACCCACTAGATGCAAGTTTGCTCACCTCTCTTGGCAGGGGGTGGGGTGGGGGTGGTGGTGGTTGGTGTCAAGCTTGGGACAGTGCCCTTGACTTTACCATCCTTACTTAGGGCATAGATCCCTCAAACCATACCACTCCCCTAGGAGCAGTTTGTGAAGGTTGGAACTCATCTCTTATTATATGGGAGTTTATTCCCAGGCCTCTTGAAGGACTTACAGTGATTTGAGGGGCTTTTTTCTTCTTGTGTTTCCGGGGGTTTAAAGCCATCTTGTGCCGAGCAGCTGAGGAATCCAAACAGTCCTTGGTGGTGGCTGGGGTGTTGAAACTCATGGGCAGGTGAGTGCTGCCGGGAAAGGCAATCATGGCAAAAGTGGTCAAGGACTGTGAGCGGATGGGTCCAGGTGAGGGCTCAAAGGAGCTCTGAAGAGAGGGGGAGAAAAGGAATGGGTCAACTCCCTATGCTGTCACTGGTCCTGAAAGCTGGAAGCTTCTCTAGCTGAAGCACTCCTAAAGAAGCAATCCTTGGGACGCCTGGGTGGCTCAGTCGGTTAAGCGTCTGCCTTAGGCTCAGGTCGTGATCCCGGGGTCCTTGGGATCGAGCCCCACATCGGGCTCCTCGCTCAGCGGGGAGTCGGCTTCTCCCTCTGCCTGCCGCTCTCCCTGCTTGTGCTCTCTCGCTCTCTGACAAATAAATAAATAAGAATGTTTTAAAAAATTAAGTGAAGAAGTCCTTCATGAACTACTGTCCCTTGTCCTCCAGCAATACTGACCCTTCTGGTCAATAGGCTCCTTAGAGGCAAGGTGCATACTTCCGCTGGGTTCCTTGTAGGTGAAAACGAGAAAGAGGAAATTCAGGTTGCTCCCCTGCTTGGAAAGGATTCAGGGGCTCCCCTTTGCCCTCAGGACAGGAACCCAACCATTTAATGGAGTTTACAAGGATAGAGGATTTGCATTTTCTCTTGTCCCTTACCCCCTTTTATTTTTTATTTTTATTTATTTATTTTTTTAAAGATTTTATTTATTTATTTGACAGAGAGAGACACAGTGAGAGAGGGAACACAAGCAGGGGGAGTGGGAGAGGGAGAAGCAGGCTCCCTGCAGAGCAGGGAGCCCGATGCGGGACTCGATCCCAGGACCCTGGGATCATGACCTGAGCTGAAGGCAGTCGCTTAACCAACTGAGCCACCCAGGCGCCCAGGGAGAAGCAGACTCCCTGCCGAGCAGGGAGCCCGATGCGGGACTCGATCCCGGGACTCCAGGATCATGACCTGAGCCGAAGGCAGTCGCTTAACCAACTGAGCCACCCAAGCACCCAACAACTCTTACCCCCTTTTAATTAACAGGAGGGGTCCACTGGGGTGAGAGGCACAGTCTCGGTCAGAAAAGCCCGTCAGGGCTGTGGGGTTTCTCCACAGGAGGGCCGGGTGGAGGGGAGAAAATCAGGCTGGAAGAGGGTTTGTCTGTAAGCTGCGTTTGCATGTGACGAGCCCTGGGTGTGATATGCAACCAAGGAATTACTGAACTCTACATCTGCAACTAATGATGTACTACTATATGTTGGCTAATTGAATTTTTTTTTTTAAAAAGCTGCATTTGCATAAACGGCACACTAACTTTATTTCCATTTACTGTTCAAGGTAGCCAGGTTGATGGGAGGACTCTGGGGAACTGGGTGCCCCACCCCCAAGGAGGTGGGGATGGAGCCTGTCACCTTGTCCTCATTATGCCTGGCCTCCACCTCTCCCAACTATCTGGTCCCGGGGCTCCCAGCTCAGTTCCTCTGTGGGACCTTCAAACCGGTCTCCTCTGGGCATCTTGACATAGCATTCTCTACACCTCAAAGACACACGCCAGAGCACCTCCCACTCCTGGGAAGCTCCCAATCTTTGTGTCAGGAGAGCCCCTCTGAAGGCCAGGTGATGAGCCACCTCTCTCCTGGACACCAATGGCGAAGGATACAGTTTAGCAGGTGGACAATCTCCCTCTCTGTCCACGCACTAGCTCTTTCCAAACTAGCTTTCCACAGCACCAGGGGCCGCGTCCGTACCTGCAGCTTTCACATCTCTCCATACCTCCCCACCACTGTCCGGTGATAATCTTAGCTACTCTCTTGGTTCCAAATATGGTCCTTTTAGGGCCTGTGATTCCAATGCCTGGTGCTAATGGGTCAGGCCAATGAGACATCCAGGTGACTGTTCTGTTTGTGATTCTAGGAAAAAGGGGAAGGAATGCTAGTTATCTTTGGTGGGGTCAGTCACGTAAAATCAGGAGTGGCCCCCACGCCTGTTCTAACTTCTTGATGCAACTCTCAGCCATGAATTTACAGAACATCTCTTCCGGGCACTGTATATTTGCTTGGGTTATCTGTAGGAATTGTTCATTTAATACTCAGTGTACAGAGTAAGGTCTCTTATTTTGTTCTTCTGAAACGTGCTCATGCTGCAGGGAGGTCTTACGGTTCTGGTATTTGGGGACTAGGTGACAACGTCTATACTCCCGCTAACCTCACATGATCTGTCTCCCCGCGTTCTGCTCCAGGCACACTGCTGGTTTGCTGTACCTCAGACATTGCGTGCGTGCCCTTCCCTTGGGGCATCTGCACTTGCTGTTCCTTCTGCCGGGCATGCTCTTCCCCCATGTTCATCTGGCTGCCTCTCTCACTTCCTTCAGGTCTCCATACACAAGCCACCTTCTCGCTGACACCTTCCCTGGCTAACCCAGTCCCAATTTCATCCCTCCACCCTGACAAATCATCATCCCCTTCCCTGTGTTGTTTTCTTCCTCCTTGGCACTTTTTACCACTAATATCTTGTGTATTTTGCTTATTGATCTTGCTTATTGTCCATACCCCCCATGGCAACTATAAACTCCATGGAGAAGTGTTTTCATTTGTTTTATTTACTACAGCATCCCTAACACCTAAAACCGAGCTGGTACATAGTAGTTGCTTAGTAAATGTTTGCAGAACCGGTGAATTGATTATGTTAAAAGTTTCCACCAGATGTTGCCTTTCTGAGAAATTGCCAGAGAAAGCTCCTCAGTTCTCTGTATCATCTTAGTTACTCTTTCTGAAACCTCACTAGCTCCACCCAAAGGTAAATGGAAAGAGTCAAGGAGGTCTGTGGATCCAGAAACCCTAAAGGGGCCCCATGCAACTGGCTTTCTATGAAAACAAACTTGTGATGCCTAGACAACAAGCAAAGGCACAATGAATTTAAAAAATTGTTCACTTTGATTGGCATCCTAAACCTTGTAGTGTAAACGCCATAGACAAAAGTGCTGTTCAGTGAAAGTCGCTCTATAGCAAAACAAAGAAATCAGGCTCAGCAAAATTCTGGCAAATGGCAGACTGAGTGTGGGCAGGAGAGAGCTTAGCTACTCCCAGCCACAGTCTAAGGCAAAAGTCCATCAAACTTAACAATAGCCACTAGTCTCCCCGTGCTTGATGGACTCTCGGTAAGGAATCTCTGGGTATCAGATCTCAACACAGACCCACAGCTATCTTCGAAAGGGGGCTAAAAATAAGAGAGCAAAGCCATCAAGCATTATCGCCACATGAAACAGTCCTAAGGGGATCTCTGTTGTTGAGGTTAGAATATGTCGTATGGGCATATAGTGTGTGTATATTTTACAATTTCCCTTAAACTCAGAAGTGAATTAAATAAACAGTTCATTAAATAAATGATTCAAATAAACCCTCTGAAACTCTGGGCAGTGTTTCTGAAAGTATGGTCTGGGATTCCCCCACGCCCCCAACATCCGAATCACCTGGAGTGTTGAAAAAAATATATTTGAAAGGACACACCAAGACCTGATGAATAAGACTATCAGGGGAGGGGCCTGACGATAGGCTCAACAGGCTCTCCAAGTGAGTCTTCCTGGTTGTGAATCATTCCTAACTCTCTGGTGTGACAAGAAAGGCTCTCATTTTCAAACAGAAGCACAGCAAAACCCGAAATAACCCCACCAGTTGCCTCAGAGCAGGAACCAGTAATATCTGGATTCCCTCTGGGAGGTGGGGCCCCTTCTTTGGGCCCTACCTTTTCCTTCAGCCATGTTGGTTAAGAGAAACCTAGAAAAGTTACCGCAGGAGCCAACCAGAGGATTTTATGAGCTACCCAGGGAAAGCAAGCCTAACCCCTTCCTGGCAGGTTTCTGAAAGAAAATCAAGTGAAGGAAATGGGGCTCCTTTCTCTACTTTTCCTTCCCCTCATGCAACCCCTTCCCTCCCTTCCTGCACTCTGAGAGCCAACACACCCTCTCGCTACCCGGTGTGCATATTATTAAGGAAGGACAAGATGTTTTCATTCCTTCTCCTGTGTTTTAGAGGGGAGTTAGCACAGACAGCTTCTGATTAACAGCTAGAGTTAAATGAGCTCCTTTTGCCTCAACATCCAGGAGCGGTGCCAGGCCTGGTGCCTACTAACCCAGAATCTTCCTGGGGAAGAAACCTGGGTCAGGCCTTGGGCCAGAGGAAGGGATCCTTCAGCACTGGTTGGTAGTGGTGCTGGATACCCCTTTGTGTTAGTTCAGATAAGGGCTGCTCTTTGGAAAATTAAAACACATTTTAGCTCCCCTCTTTCCCTTCTGTCAAGTTTCTAGACCCAGTGCAAAATAGTTCAGTCAATAATCCACCCTTTTGGTCATCTTTCTGATGGTTTCTTTGTCTGTTGTATGATGCTAGGGTCTCCCCCTTTTCTTTTAAGTCTTGATAAGAAACACTTGAGGGAGGCTAGAGAGCACTTTCGGTGATTCTTGGAACAAAGGAGGACCCCCACTGTTAACGTCTTAAATAAGGGCATGACCGGCCCAGATTTCATCAAGCGTTGGGCCCCAAAAGCTGTCACCCTGGGGCAAAGCTCCCTCTGAGCCTGCCGGGGAGGTTTTGACACTGGGACGTTGGAGAGCTGCGTTCCGTGTGAGCCATTCAGCCAAAGGCTCCAAACGCAAGTCGCCATAGAAAGCTCTCCAGAAGGAGGAGCAGCTCTTGATGGGAATGGTGGTCCTCAGCGGACGCTTCTCTACCAAGATGCACGGACACAGGGTAGGAGACCCGATATTGGCCATTAGGATTTTCATTTCCCGGGTGTGTCATTGGACTTCTGTGCCCATTCCTGAGAATTCCCGCACAACTGCTGTTTCACTCGGAATCTCCGTTTCATAAGAGCTGTTGTGGCCGCCATTTTGCCAACCAGAAAGTTCTGGGAGGTGGACTTTCACATATTCCCTGCAGCCCCCCCCCTTCCTCTGGCCATCTCTTCAAGTTCTTAACTAGTATGGAGAAGTAAGGACGTGAACTTTGGAATTGAATAGGCCTGAATTTGAGGTCCTAGTCATGCCATTTATTAGCCGTTTGACCTGGCACAAGTTACCTGGCCTCTTTGAGCCTCAGTTCCTATGTCTCTAAAACATATCTCTGT